GATTTTTACTTCCAGAACCCGACTGTTGCACTGTATTGATTAACATTATCTAAAAGCCGCATAGCCTAGGTGATGCTAACCGAAAAGTTTTTGATGAAATACACTGACAAACCGGCGTTTTGTTTGGCAATCGTTCACAATAAGTCCAGGATCGGGACATTAAGAAAGTAAATGGGTTCAATTTTGATTTCACATTGACTTTAACATCCGTAAACTCCACGAGACAAACACACGCACAGAGCAACCGCCACAGTGATTTATCTGATTCAATTATCCTGCAAATGTAAAACAAGTCAGTTCAATAAAGAGCTAAAACCTCTTTCTTTCGTTCATTCGTCTCTCGCCCTTCCTCCCTCTCTCTGCTGAATAATGAGAGTGTGTAAATGCTTAATTAGATTAAAAGGGTGTGTATAACAATATCAAGATGTTGTGTGTGTGTGTACGTTGAGATCTCTCTACATTAGCGCTGTGTTATTGTGGGCAGGGCTGAGAATTTATGATGCACAAAAACCCTGAAACATCAAACCCATTAAAGAATCCTGATTTATTCTCCGTGAGCACCGGGGAAATATATCACCCATAAAGAGGTGTGTGTGTGTGTGTGACAGGAACTCCTGGGAAGCATGTGTTTAATAGGAGAGGCTTAGCCGAGGTCTTTTTGGAAGTGTGTGACCTGAAAAACAAATTAGAATACAAAAGAAAACCGTAAGATATTAAAATATCACAACTGCATGCAAGGAAGACTGATCCAAATTTCCTTAAAACATTTGAAAACCTGCCTCTAAAAAAAGTCATAAATTTCACATCAGAATACTTTCATATTTTCATATGTTATATATTTTTATATTCTTCTTTGTTTTGCATTACTTATATTTTTTATTTTATTTTACTAATATTATAATATTGTATTTTTAAAACTTAAAAACTGAACTAGATCCACAGAGATTATTTACATAATACAGTCTTCATTTTAATAATTAAGAGATTTTTAAAATTACTAATGCTACTTCTTTCATTTTCTATTGTTGTTCAGTTCATAGACTGCTACGTTCTTAATTTACACTACACGGTTATTTCATCTTAATTATATTATTTATTTTGTGCAAATTTACTTTACGAACTTCATTACTTATTATTGGACACATCAATAGGAAATAAAGGGGGAAAAAAATCACAAGTGAGTTCTATTTAGTTTGATATACAGCAATGAGATCAAATGGAGAGCAAAAAGAACATTTTGCCCAAATAACCTCATGTCTATTTTTCAACAATTGCGCCCAAACAGAAAATTCTCGTTAAATTCTCCCAAACAGTATCACTGAGATACTATTATAGTTTTTATTAATATTTTGAATCAGTTTTTATTTTTATATTTTCTGTGTGTCTGTGTGTGTGTGTGTGTATATATATATATATATATATATATATATATACAGTATATATTACAGTAAAAACAGTCATATTTAAAATAACTGTAAAATAATAATAAATAATACATTTGACTGTTTTTACTTTTTTATATATATTATATATATATATATTGCCATATACAAAAAAGTTAAGTTTACGGAGAAATACAAATGTGTCCCACCAATAAAGCTAAATCAAAACAGTATCTTAGAGCCAGATCTCCTGTTATCCGTCATGCAGTGAGCAGACACACATGCCATTAAATGAATCATGTAATTAGCGTATGTAAATAAAAAAATATGATGCATGTTTTATTTCACTGTCTTTGATTTTAGAGATCAATCGGCCATTCAGATGGAATATAATATCAGAGCTCATGCTGTTCCTGTGGTGAATCTGTGTGTAACAGAGCTGTTAGTCTCAATAAAACAGACAGGAGAGCAGGAGAGAGTCGTCTTTTCTCTTTTTCTGGGTCGAATAGACCACTAGGATGCCTCAATCACTGAAACTAAACTTAATCTTAATCAGTCTCACTGACCTTTGACCTGAGCTAGGCACTGCTGTGAGCAGAGGGTTTCCTCAAAGACCTGCGTGAAGATAAAGATCTCATGCTGGACACCAAAGGATCATGGAGCGTTACGTTGAAGGTGCCTTTCAGAACCGTGTCCATGATGACCGGACTCAACTACAACACACACACAGCCAGAGTAAGACACATTATGTAGAGGAAATGAAATAAATAAACAAATTAAAAAAATTAAACATTAGTGCTGGGCAACGATTAATCGCGATTAATCGCATCCAAAATAAAAGTTTTAGTTTACATAATATATGTGTATTTATTATGTATATAGAAATACACACACATATATACATATTTTGAAAATATTTACATGTATATATTTATATTCATATAATTTATATTGTATATAAATATATTTAATATATAAACAATATATTTTTCTTAAATATATACATGCATGTGTGTATTTATATATACATAATAAATATGCATATATATATATATATATATATATATATCATGATCTGGATTACATAATTAGAGTACTTGACTACTTGTAGTTAGATTAAATTACATTTTTAAATACTCGTAATTAGACTACAGTTACTTTTTTATTGATTACATGACTGCATATTATTCACGCAATATTAATAAATTATTCATAATATATTGATTCTCCCTAATTTCATCTTTTGAAGGTTCCATTCTTAAATAGCCTACCGCTTAAATACAGTCAGAAAGTCTTCAGTTTTGAGGACATTCACACAGAGATCAGTCATTAGTCAGGAGGCTACACAGCATTTGACCTCTGGATTTACAAAATTAATTTCAGATCAAGTGTTTCAACTTTGCATCAGCTACTGATGAACACATTCATTTTTATTTGAATTATCACTCAGTAGGTTATTTAACCAATATTACTTTGAAAGGCTTTTGTCTTTCAAACACATTAAAATACACAAATGCATGCTATTTCTTATTTACATGTAATGCAGGCATTCCCAAACCTTTTTTTAATTTGAACCTCTTTCACCTAATATATTTACTTGAAGTACCCCTTGATTGAAGTGACTTCAGAACAGTTCAGTCGAGATCAGGCCTCCCTACATGAAGGAGTGTGACATCAGTAAGATCAAGCATCTACATCACGTCTGGATATACTTCACTCTCCATTCATCTGAATGTGTCTGTCTTCATAACCTGAGCTAAGTTTTCCTTTTATGCTTATACTAAAAGTTAACAGGTTATTGGCAACATGCTTGTTTCTAAGTTATTATCGGAACATATACTGTTTAGCAAATTATGTTTATCATTGGAACGTTCTCAATGTTTGGCTAAGCTGTTTTTAGGAAACGTGTTGTTGATCAAAGCTTTTTGTGTATTATTGGAAACATACTTGTTGCTCAGGCTTTTGGTTATTGCCAATAATAAATTTTTCCCTATAATGGACTCTATCAAAATTTTGTCTGACATACATCAGTTTTCTGTTAATACCCTCACCAGTCGCCTTACCAGAGAACAGCATCCTGATTATAATTGAAATACGTTATCCTTGCTGTGCTGAGACAAGTGAGCATCCTCAAAAGTTGATTGGACAGAGAATTAGTTTAGGGCCTAAAGACTGATCCATGAGAGTGGGAGGTGCACAGACCAATGTTCCACTGATGGTTGGAGGACAGCTGATTGAGGGAGTGCAGCAGTTATCTAAGTTGTGAGCATTAGTGGTCACTGATGAAGGGCAGAGGCCAAGTATGGAGCTACTCCCTTTAATATAGGATTTAGAAAATTATATAGTACTGAATCTGCTTTACTGAAAGTTACTAATGACATTCTGCTGGCTACAGATAAAGGGAGTGCTGTTGCTCTGGTCCTTTTAGATCTCAGCTCAGCATTCGATATGGTCGATCACTCTATTCTCATCTCCCGACTGGAAAATTTAGGCATTCAGGGTACCGTTTTGAATTGGTTCCAGTCTTTTTTTAACTAATAGGATGTTCTCTGTCTGTATTGGAAAGCACACTTCCTCAGTTGCACATCTTTCTTGTGGTGTTCCGCAGGGATCTATTCTGGCTCCAACACTGTTCTCCTTATACTTGCTGCCATTGGGTTCCATCTTTTCCAAATACGGAGTATCTTTCCACCTATATGCCAATGACACCCAATTATACCTTCCTCTTAAACATAATGATTCAATTTCCATAGAGGTTCTGCTAGCTTGTTTACATGAAGTTAAAATTTGGCTTACACAGAATTTCTTAGCCTTAAATGAGAATAAAACCGAAGTTATGCTGTTTGGTC